TCTAATTATTCGGTAGAAGTGTACAGAAACCAACAAGAATTTCTAAGAATTTTCATATTGTTACAAGCATATTTTCCCACACTAGACCAGCCTGTCGTGGGGGATAGCAACCCTTAAGAGAGACCTGTGGTCGTTGTTAGGTGCCTCAATTGTTCGACATGTTGGCCGTGGAGGAGGCCTATCCACCGTTGTACGAGGAAAGCATGAACACTGTGCTGAGACAAGAGGTGCTCCTCAGTTTCGATAGTGGCTGTGTGATATACAAACGCTCAGGTTCTGCGATATAATCGTTTGCTAGAGGAGATAAGGTCGACGGTTCCGGAGCTTCAGAGGGCCCTCAAGGGTCTGGTGGTGATGAGTGAATCACTGGAGAAGGTATCCTTCATAGTGCGCTGCTCTCTTGGCAATGTTCTCGTCAGATGGGGAGCGCCTTCCTGACCAATCAAGTGCCGGAAGCATGGGCCGATAAGGGGTTCCTCTCGTTGAAGCCCCTGAGCTCCTGGTGGGCCCGGTTACTGGTGTTGGAGATTATGGTTGTTCCTCAGGCTGGCGGATCTGATCGATCGCGTGGCGTTCATGAAGAAGTGGGTTGAAAATGGAGTTCCTCCGGCGTTTTGGATCAGTGGGTTGTTCTTCCCTCAAGCGTTTCTCACGGGCACCCTGCAAGTATGAGAAGGCACTCCGACACTTCCTCGTTGGCTATGGTGTCCTCTTATAGAACTTCTCGAGATCGAAGAAAGTCGCTATTGACAGACTCGCCTTCGACTTCACCATATTGGATGACCGTAAAGTGGATGAAATCACAGTGAGTGAATTAGCGCTCGCCCGAGACGACAGCGGCATGTCTCGTGCCTTGCAAGAGTGGGCAGTCTCCTACTGTTCAGGAGCGTGCTGCTGAGGGTGTCTATGTTTATGGTATATTTCTTGAAGGTTGCCGATGGGATCCAACAGGTCGGTTGGGTCTGTCTTCCTTCTTTTATGGCGTGTTTTGTATTTCAGCCCATCTTTTAGCTGACTCGCTTCCCAAGGAGCTCTTCTGTGAACTCCCTCCTATTCACTTCTTACCTGTGGTTGATCGAGAGCAGCCGAAGGGTATCCTCCACTGCCCTATCTACAAGGTGGTTAGTCGTCGAGGCACACTGTTGACGACGGGACACTCGACCAACTTCGTCCTATATATAGACATTCCTAGTGATAGGGATGAAGATATTTGGGTGAGGGCAGGAGCTGCTGGCTTCCTAGCACTCAAGACATGACGTGTTGAGCACC